TTTTCATTAAGAGAACCAATGTATCTATCACCCTTTGCTTTCTCTGATTTTTTCCTTCTGGGATTTTTACAGGTCCATAATTTCAGTTTTCACAGGTAACAGCATTGGTGATTCATAACTAACAATTAATTTTCTTTTGTGTATCATTTGTAAGCAGGCAGCTTTCTAAATATTTTTCAGTAGTTGGTTGGGGGTACAAACTATAGCAGTCAAGTCCCCCCTTTCCAAGGGGTTAAGCCCCTCAGCCCAATAATCTGTGTGCTGAGTTAGGGACCATGGGCTGTGTCTGTCTCTTGCTATTAAGAAGACCTCATGTACCCAGTGCCCATTGGATTCCTGTTCCCTCAACCGAATTTGATCACCTCCCGTGAGACACTCGAAATATGTATTCTGTCTCTGACTCGTGAAGGAGACACCCATACTCCCTTTTTCTTTTCTCTTTTTTTTTTTCCTCTTTTTCTTTTTTTTCTTTTTTTTTTTCTATTTTTATTTCTATTTTAGTAGTTATATGCAGACCAAGATCCTTATCATTGATATAATTATATTCTATTATAATATAGTAGTAATAGTATATTATATTCTATTATAATATAATATATAATATAATACATAATATAATAATATTATAAAATTATATTATCTAATTAAAAATTATATACAATTACTGAGCACCAACTTTTCCCTCCTGGAGAAGGTCTGGCACTGTGTTTTGCTAACAGAGCATAACATGCATAAAATGCAGCTTTAACTTTTGCACTGCTGTTTTCAGTCATTTTTACAAAAAGAAAAACCACTACAGGGAGGTATAAACTTAAACTATACACACACACACAACTTTGCTTCCCTGTATGGGTAAAAAGACCAAATCTGCTTGGAAGGCACTCCTTCAGTGTAAAATTCTGTTTGTCTCTTTGCTACACCAAACAGTCAAAATTCATACACACAACAACAAAAACAATCCAGCCCTTTTGCACTAAGAGATCTTTTGTGAAATTCTGCAGACAGAGCCCTCAAGTGAGTGTGGGGTGCTTTTTACCTTGGCATGTGCAGTTTGCAGGAAATCCGAATCACCCCCCTTGCTTTCTAGACACCGCTCACTCTTTTGGGAGTGTCGGGCTAGGTGCGGCTGGAGCAAAACGTCTTTCCCCTAATACAGACCGCACAACAAACCTGCAGCCCCTTCTGTCTGTCAGAAATCCTGTCCATGATGCCAATTTAGATGTCATGATTCGCTAATGCAAGTGGGGCTCATGAGAGGTTCGTTTGATCTCAGAGTGCAAAAGGACACAAAGGGATTTCAGTTTAAATCACAAAAACAATAATGTACCTTTATTTTAGTGCCAACAACAAGGGTTATGTGATAGAGGAGAGAGAGAGAGAGAGAAATAAGGAAAGCAAAGTAAAGAAAGAGAGAAGAGGTTATAGCTACCAACAGATGAGACGGGGCCGCTGGGGTCCCTTTCTGTGGGAGATCTGGCCGAAATTATCTTAGTCTTATGTAATTCTTCCCCAAAGTTACCTTGTTTCCAATGTGCTAATAAGCACCCCAAAGGAGAAGTACCTGGTATGGGAGCATAGCAGCCCAAAACCCTTCTCCATATTATAACTATAATATACCACAAATGCCGAACCTGCAACGCTTTCGCAGTCGTCTTACAGACGGCGCCTAGGCTTTACCAAGAGGAATTCCTTTAGCCCAACCACGCGCAGCTTTCGCCGTGTCTAACTGGCAGGCACCAAAACCAAAGTAAAGCACCTTACCTTTCTCTCCCGGGGACGTTGTGAGCAGCGGAGACGGTCGCGGCTGGATGGGCTCCGCGAGAATCCCTTGGTGCCGGCTGGAGCGTGATCAGGTCACGAGTTCGCTCAGCAGCACTCACAAGGTCCCATCTGGGTCGCCAAAATGTTAGCGTTCAGGAACACACATAACCACGAATGGTTATACGAAGGTGCTTTATTTAAAGAGCTCTGGGTGTCAGGGGTACACATACCCAAATCTGACCCCACTTGGGTTTCGAGTTGAACATATTTTATACTCTATCATTATGCAACTTACATATTAATTATTAAACTTACATTGTTCTGTTGTATACATTGTTTTTACCCAAGCATGAATTTCTCGTAATCTCCCCCTTAGCCCCCTAACATGGTTCCCCATGTTCTCTAAACAATAATTATATCTAATCACATCTAACAATTGTATCATTTATCATATACTGACTGCACAAGTGCAGCTTGACCTGGTCTTTAGCAAGCACAAGGCCTAACATTTCCAGGGCCTGATTTTCCCAGGGCTTTCCAAACCTAACTTTCTTTCTAAGTCCCTGAATTTTCTAAGATTTTAAGGCCTTTTACTATCACCATCAGTTTATGATGGACCACTGTGGAGTCACGCATCTGAAAATGAAGGAAAACAAGGGAATGGCCTTGATATGGTCAGAGACATGGGGAACATGGTGACACCAGGGGACGTACTTAGCTTGAAGGTCATTGCTACCTCCCCTATAAGTCCTCTTGCTCTCATATGGCTCCCCTAGTCCCCTATATTCCCCCAAACTCAGCTGGCACCCCGCATTTCCTTAAAGCCTACTCTCAGGCTGTTACAGACTTTCAAGCCACTATCAGCCCTATAGCGTCCCCCTTATCCCCCATCAGATCTCCCTCCAGCCTGTTGCAGCTCCTGATGCCATCCATCCCCATGTGGTGCCTGTGACATGCAGAATCAGAATTCTGAATTGGAAGGTATCTACAGAGGATTGAGCTCTATGGTGTGTCAGTACCATAACTGAGAAAGCTTAACACCATTATGTTAATAAGATTGGGGATGAAATGATCTCTTCATGCTCTTCCTTACCAACTGCTGAGTCTGTTGGCTGCTCTCAGATGATCAGAGGAGTCCTTCCTGCTTGCCACTCTGCCGTGGCAGTGTCAATGGCAGGGGTGCCATGACTACTCTGAAGAAGCTGTCCTGAAAAGGACTGCCCAGGAGAACAGGCATGTCCTCTGCTCAGCAAGTAGTCTTGGTCCAGCAGCGGCTAGCAGGTGGCGCGGGAAAGAGAGTCTGGAGCTCTGTATGGCGTTCTGCCAAGAAATGGCCTTTATTAGATGTTTCGGTTTTAGAAGACAGGTGTCTGCTAGGGAGGATAGGAGAGTCTCTCTTGGAATGAAAAAATGTAGACCCCTTCCCTCTGAATTATTATAATTCTGAAATCAAGGGGCTCTCAGGCAGAGATCTGGGGATAGGAATAACAGTTCTTTACTAATATTTATAACAAGGCAAACAAACAATAACTACAGCATTAGCAAGAAAATAGAACCAGGGACTCCGTGACAGCTTTCTAGGCCGAGATGGGAAGGGATGGAGGAGAGGCTTTGCTTCATAAACTCTCTCGGACGGGAGGTACCGGTGTTCCTGCAGGGCTCTGAGGAACAGCCGCTGGAACAGCAGGAATTAGCAGAGATCCTGGGCCATTGGCTGAGGTGTATCAGAAGCTCCACAGCGGTGGCTGGCACTGCCACACGTCCCGGCAGGACAGGGCGAGGTCACTAACGAAGAGGGAAGAAGGAGAAGAAGCAGCACTTCCATCTGGGTGATGGCAAAATTCCCTTCTCCCCACCACAACATCTCCACAGCCCAAGTGTCTTTCTCCAAAGCTGAAGAAAGCCTGCCAAACTGTCCCCACCCTCATTTTTCCTGCCCCCTTCCCCCCCTGGGCCCCGGCTGAACTCTTTGTCTTATCTCAAGCATCCACCAAGTACAGACAGTTAGGTTTTCCCCGCAACTAATGGGTAAAAATTCCACAGGCAAGCCAGAACTAAAAAAAAAGACACCTAACCCAACACAACATTAGAGCAGGGCCCTCAGCAAAGGAGGCCAGTGACAGCAGCTCCCCAAACTGAGGTATTTATAGGGAAGGAGAGGGGAGGGGAAAACTGGGATATATGTATCGAGGTGGATGGATAGGGAGGGAAGCCAATGGGGTGCAACCTATTAACATAACTAACTTGAAGACCTCTGGGAGTGACACTTTTGTCTCTCTGAGAGAAAAATGCCTTGCCTAGGGAGAATCCCTCCAAGGGAGAGCCAGGATCTTGAGGTTGGCTGGCTCTTCGGCCTCCACACCACTCTGCCTGCCCTGCCTGGGTGAACCACTGTGCCAATTGGCATGCCATGCCCTCACTGCCATTCCATGCCATGCCCTAGGTTACTCACTCCTGTTCATCTCACTCCAGATCACTGACTTCCTAGAGCTCTCTAAATATCCTTCGGATGATCCTTGCACTGGTGCCTCCTCATTTGATGCCTGCTGAAGGCTGCTGAGTCCTGGTGAGGCTTAGAGCTGATTTTCAGGTGTTCCTGAACTCAGAAGCACCCCTGTTCAGCTCAAAGACATGCCAAGATACATGTGCCCACCACCCAGGCATCCTGTTTGACACGATGCCAGAACCGGCTAGCTCTCCCTCTGCCCCGCGTCGGGAGTGGGACACACCTCAGGAGCAGAATGACCCGAGATGCGGCTTAGAGCAAAGCTCTATGGCACTTTTGGCTGGTCAGGCGCAGTGTGGAGGCAAGAATGAGGGGAGGCCTTTTGTATGGGTTTTGAAGATGGGTTTAATCTCCAGAGGAGCCAGGGACAAAAGACAGAAGGTGTATGCTATGCAACATCTTATATACGGGGGAGGAGTAAGGGGAGGCTACAAATCATGAACCAATAGGGAAGCTTTAGGGGAGGAGTTTAAGGCAGAGCTTACAATACATAAACCAATGGGAAAACTTGGGGGGCAGGAAGAGTTAACAAAATCCAATGCAATGTCAAATACAATATGATTGACAGGATTCTGGAACAAATGGTTGGTGCTAAGTAAGACTGACAAGGAGGGATCTGGATAAAGAGGTAAGGTCACAGTGACTGACAGGGAAGGCACTGGATAAAGGGGTTGGGGTACAATGATTGATGGCAGTAGGGAGGAGGGTACAACTTGGAAGAAACCAACATCAGAAGGGGAAAACAGAACAAACCATTTGAGCAACAAATCTCGAACTTATTAAAAACACACCACCACACCTGTTTTGCTGTTTCTTCATGCCCCAGAATAGAGTTTGTAGCCATGATTGTGACATTCCAGAAACTTCTCTGAGGTGAGGCCTCCCAATGGCTAGGGGCCCTGTTTCTCATCCAGGGGTCCTGTCCTTCTGTCCACAAATCCATGTCCCCATAGGGATCTACCAGCCATTCCTGTCCCTGCATCCTCACAAGGGACCCACTAGCAACCCCAGTTCTATGTCTCTGTGGGGATCCACCTGCTCCCTTTGTCCCTGTGTCCTCATAGCTATCCACCAGGACTCCTGATCCCCGTGTTCCAAATATCCCCCTTGTGTCCCATGTCTACAGTGTCTTCTGTGGGGCTGGAGGGAATATTGGGACCCACAGGGATGTCGGACATTCCTCCCACTCACACATGTGGCGCCCCTTTTTGCAGTGCTTTTTTTCTGCTTTGCACATGTGTCGTTTGGATTTCTTTCACAAAACTGCCACCATCTTGATGCATAACGTGTTTTCCATCTTACTTTACCACAGTACATGCCCTTGTTGGGAAGCTGCAGAGGAGCTACCCATGGTGCCCTGTGACTCCACAGCCTGTGTGACCTTGCTGATTTTGCATTGATTGGCATTTGGGGAAGAAGTAAGAAATCACCCATGGAAGTGATTTCTTAGAGAGAAGCTGCTGAGAGCTTCCTCTGTGCTTGGGAAAGGCCAATAGCTGGCTAGTTCTGAGAACTGACAACATTTTGCATTGTTGAGAAATTAGATCCATCTCTGTGAGATCTATGATTTAAAAACAGCAAGCTCAGGAAATCTCTGCTTCCAGCCTCGAAAGGTAGCTGAGCTCTGGTGGGGTCAGCCCTGCTCCCTTGTGGCCTGTGCAGCCTCGGGTGGGGGTGGGGGAGCAGTGGCTGGACCCCAGCGGCTCCCTGGCAAGGGGACAGGAGGTCAGAGGGCCCTGGATCCAGGCTAGGGTGGGCCATGGCTGCTGACTTCTTGCTGACACTAAGCCCCCCCATGCTGAGCCAGGGTCCACTGGGTCCCAGGCTGAGCCCCCCCTCCCAGTGGCTGCTGTGCAGAGGGAGGGGCCCAGCTTGGCCTGAAATCCAACACTGACTGCTGCGGCCACTGCCTATGACCATCACCAGGCCTGGGGGAAATATCAACCTTTTCAGTGCACAGATGAGACCTGCAGACTACGATTCTCCCCTCAGGTGAGAGAAAAGAGTGATGACAGGTAGAAAGACAATATGAGGACACCAAGGTCATTAAAGAGGGAGTCAAGATTCAGATGGAAGGAGAATGAGGACATGCCCTAATGGGACTGAAAGCTCTTTTGGTAGGGCCATAGAGATGGACAATGATACACTGAAATATCCCCTTTAATTCATGAGAGAGTATGGGGGGGGGTGAAGTATTCAAACTGTAGACGTCAGCAGAGGAATCCACTGATAGCCAGGCAGATGTTAAAGCATCTGTGATCCCATGAGAAGCTTGAATAGAGAGAGAGAAAGATGAGAATGACGAAGACACTTTGTCCCCAGGAGAGAGTAGAAGAAAATCTCTGTTCCCAGAGATGATTGTGGAGAGGTGAAGAGAACCTTTGCCTTTGAAAAACTCATCATTAGAAATAACACCCCATGAGTTTATGGCCCATGGACACACCTGTAGTAGGGCTGTGAAAATGGGAGGGATTTCATGATTGCAGAACTTAGCCCAGACAGCAGCTATTCATGAAAATGGAAAGCCATGAGAGAACTGTTTCTGGTGAAGTCTCCATGGTATGCTCTCCATACCAGAACTGATGAAAGACTATTATACAGTTGGTAATTGATTTAACATCTCAGATTTTGTTTCTACGTTGTCAGCTGGGAAAGGAAAGAA